TTGGCTGCTCCACCCACATACCGCATGCTGCGCTGCAGCATGCACTAGTATTTCGGTCTTTGGACCGACATTTCCTTTTATTTAAACCAAACGGTGGCAACTATACCAATAATGAGCATTTTCTTTTTCAGGAAATTGCCACGCTTAAAACTGAGCTTAAGCGTGTTGAAAAATCGTGTTTCACACAATGAACTGCGCTTAGAGGATACCTTTAGGACTGTCGAGGCCAACGAGCGTGTCCAAAGATCTCTCAACGTTCGCATTTACGGATACGATTTCACCCGTTGCAAAGTTCCGAGGCCAAATGAACCGGGTCAATTTGACGTAACTACACCAGCAGAACTCGTTCGCCAGCTCATGATAGATGGTTTGCCTTATCTCTTTTCCACCTACTCACATTAGAGCACCTAGCGCTTATCACCCTGCGTAGGCCTGTTGGTTATCTGTTCCTCCATTTGCAGGCATGAAGCTTGAAAGTGATTTCGCCGATACCGTCGCCTTTCGAAAATGCCACTGGGTGGCGAACCGTTACATCTTATGCTCTTTTCAAACTGCCGATCAAAAACAAAAATTTGAAAAAGAAAAATACGTGTTACGGGGTTATGCGCCCCATGGTCGGAGTATCTCGATTAAAAGCGACCCCACTGGAGCGCAGGTGTGGTTTTCCTTTCCTGTTATCTCCCTCTCTTCTTTCCTTTGTGCACTTTTACCGGGCTCATAAAATGCATTGCAGAACCGTGAGTTCCAAGACGCGGCGACGTTAGCGCTTCAGTTACGCGCTAAAGGTTTCGTTGCGTACTCCACTGATAACCGCATTCGCGTTGGCCCTCGTGACAATTCACGATGGTACCATTACACGGACCCGGCTATACACTCAATGCTTAATCCGAGTGGCTGAGTTTCTTCATGATGAACCAAACGGATTCGTTTCTTTTACGATTTCTTTTATGTTGGTTTCTTTTTTTCAAAGATGTATTTTTGTGCATTTCTCGAATTTTCTCGCTGTCCGATGTTCAAAACTATTAGGGGGTATAATTTGGTATTATTGACGCTTTCCTGCATTAAACTTTCACCGCATTGCTATCTTTCCTGGTTGCGGTTCGTGACAGGGCTTATTTTCTCGGCTCTTAGCTCCTCCGTTTCCCGTCCCCACACGGCACTGATCTGAATCAGTTGTGTCAACGGTTATCGCTTGTGTTCCTATCTGGGCTGGAGTTAGGCCTGTTACCATACGCTCATGCTACAACCCCAACAACATTTCACTTTACTTTTTGATTTTTCCTATAATGTTGTTTGTAAATGCGATCCGGTCGTATCTACAGCTCCGGCCGTCTCTGCCTTCGTACTTCTGTGATCTGCAGTTTCAATCTTGCTGTGAAGCCCTGGGTCATTTCTCGAATGTTCTTAGGATCACACGACCTACAATTCTCTCGATTACGACCTCATCGACGAATGCTGCTATTACCGCACAACTTGCCACTTTTTCGATTCATTGTATTTGTATATTTGGTGCTTGGTGTATTTTCCTTTATGTATATTGGTTGTGATGTATGTATTTGGTGCTCGTTCGTTGGCGAGTTTTAGTTACTCTCTATTGTTTCTGTCCACAGGTCCCTCCTGCTGTAGGTTATCCCTTTCAGACTACAGGCTACACTTCATCCTCACTTTCTTCCACCGTTTCCTCAGTTGAGGTGATATGTTGGTGATTTTAACGATATTTACTCTTTCTGTCCTGACGTTTGCTGCCTCTGACCTATGGCAGTTATTGTTTGCTTTCATTGCTACATCTTGACTGGTAGAGACCTGCATACCTTGGTTTTGGCAGCGATCTAGCTTTGTCCAGCCAGGTTATTCCTTTTCCAATCTGAATATTTGGTCCCTTCTTTTTTTATATTTAGTTTAGGCTCCGTTTGTACATATAGGGTATTTTGACCTCTTGCTTTGAGCG